CCGGGCGAGTAGGCAACCCGCCCGCACTCGTGCGTGCGGCACAGTCTAACTACAGAAGTGCGCGGGGTTAATCAGCCACCTGGTATGTCCCATCTGCGTTTTAGGCGCTTTTTAAATTGGACACAAAATGCACATTTTCTGCAGCTCTGCTACCTGGGTAGCTGACCGTCATGACTCGAAAGTATGAGTCACTTTGCAATACTATTACGGACAATAGCAAAACAATCGACAACGGAAGGAAAAAAAATACAAGAAAATACAAACAAGGCGAGTTGCACACCATCACGCCCCTAGCCTATAGCCATGCGCTTAGGACTCGGTCCTCTTTGTATTTCGGTGGTTTTCGCCGAGGAGTCGGCCGCCCGTGCCGCTCAGGCCCTGCAGCTGTGTTTGCAGCCCCGGGTGACGCTCAGCGAGACGGGCCTACATAAGCGCCGGCGCGACGCCGCGGCCGGATGTTTGGCCCGTCGAGGACGCGTACTTCAGTTCGCGCGCAAAGATGTGCCGGCGTCTCGGACTCGTCCTGGTGATCGGGGTGGCCCTCCTCGCCCTCGCCGTCGGGCCCACCCCCGCCAACGCGCAAGGTGTGCACCGGGCGGGCTGGGTGCGAATTGTTCCGTCCGCGGAGGAGGGCTAGACGCGCTTTTGCTGAAACTGAAGTGTCTTCTAATGTGTCAGTCTAATGTGTTGGAGTATGGCGCAACAGTAACCCTGTGACAATGGTGTCTTGCGCGGGAGATAAATGTGGACCAAATTGTAAACGTGTGTTGATGTCCGATACCAAAAATCAGATTTGTTTTTGACGTGGCTGTTACGCACTCCTTTATGTGTGACATTTTCGTCACACCTTTTTTGGCGTTGTCATTTTGTTTAAAGACTCTATGCGTCTTATTCATACGTCTGTTTGATGTCGACAGTCGCAGCATTCGTACTAGGGGTGGAGACGAAATCGTTTCAATGCTCTTTTAACCGTCGTAATTTTTTCCGCATCATCCCCTGGGAACTTATAGTGATAGTAGCCCATAAACAAACAGTGACTTCTGTGTTGTTCAGGTTGGACTTCCTCGCTCTTCAGCTCGTTCTCAAACTTCTCGAACTTGGCCAGAAAAGGCATCTCCAATGTCGTAGAGACCGTCAAGAACACAACATCTAATATTGTCGAGGATGCCGTCAGGTTAGTTTGGTTTGGGTTTCCCTCGGTACGTGGCAGCAGACTCTCAGAGCGAAACGACGGTAGAAACTGTGTGATAACATCAATTTTGTCTTTTCAACCTACCCTTTGCTCGCTCCAGGTTCGTTGCACTGAGGACCACACAGGACGAGGTGTGCTACTTCATCCTGGGCTGCTTCAGCCTCAAGAGCCCCTGGGTGTCGCTGAGCCGGCCCGTACCTGTGCCCAAGGAGCCCGAAGCCATCAGCGTGCGATTCTACTTCTACACCAGGTGCACCGTCATCATCCATCATCCGTTATCCGTCAACCGTCATCCATAATCCATCATTCATCATCCATCATTCGTCATCCATCATCCGTCATCCATCACCTGTCATCCATCACCCGTCATCCATCATCCGTCATCCATCATCCGTCATCCATCACCTGTCATCCAAAATTCGTCAACAACTTGTATGTCACACAGGGAGTACCCCGAGCGCTATACCATCGAGTCCGGGCCCAACATAACGTCGCATGGTGACTTCGGCTACGAGGCCTCCAAGCCCACCTTCTTCCTCGTCCACGGCTTCCTCAACAGCGGCAACGAGACGTGGATGGCCGACCTCAAGGACGCCGTGCTCAAGAACGTCGACGGCAACGTGTTCATCGTGGACTGGGGGCAGGGCGCCATGGAGGCCAACTACCTGCAGGCCGTGTCCAACACCCGCATCGTCGGCCGGGAGATCGGCCACCTGGGCCGCGTGCTCACCTCCCACTACGGCGCGTCCGCCAAGAACTTCCACTTCATGGGCCACAGCCTGGGCGCGCACATCTCGGGCTACGCAGCTCGCAACATCACCAGCGTGGGCCGCGTGACCGGTGCGTAAGGCGAAGCGAGGGGTACTTCATTATTGAACTACGAGTGGACCTTAAGATACCCTGAAAATTGCAAGTCTCTACCACATCTCCTATTAGTGGAACAGACAGACATACAGACAGATAGGCACGAGGTCGTTTGCATAAGCCCGCTGGATAGCTTTTTCAAAACAGAAGGGTGGGCTGGAAATTGTATAAGTAAACGCCCCTTCAAAAATCAGAAAAATCAGGGACAATCGGGAAAAATTAGAAGAAAAAAATCAGGGGCAATCAGAAAAAAATCTGAACAAAATAAAACACGAAATCAAGAAAAATTACTCTTCCGACAGCGTTCGACCCCGCCGGTCCCGGGTTCGAGGCCCTGCCCCGCGTGGTACGCCTCAACAAGTACTCGGCCAGCTTCGTGGACGTGCTGCACACCAACGCCAAGCCCGTCACGCAACTGGGCTTCGGCATGATGCACTCCATCGGCAAGTACCTGCGAGTACACCCCAGAGGTCTCTCAGAGTGCCCAAACGCTAACGTCTGACCCGCCCCTAGGTCACGTCGACTTCTACATGAACGGCGGAGTCGACCAGCCCGGCTGCAGCAGCCCCAACATCACCATGCCCAAGTCCATCCTGGACGTCGTCACCATCCCCCTGAACGGTGAGCCCCCGCCTGGCTCCGGCCGCGCTTGCGCGTGCTTGCACCACAGACTAGCTCTAACGCTGCTCCGCTCTGTCCCCCCACAGCGCTGTCCGAGCTCATCAGCTGCTCCCACAGCCGCTCCTACGAGTACTTCACCGAGGCCCTCAACAACACGTCTTGCCTCATGTGGGGCCACAAGACCAGCACTGGTCGCCAGCGACTCCTGTGAGCCCTCCCTCTCTCCGTCCATCCCTCCCTCCCTCCCTGTCTGTTTGTCTGTCTGTCGGTCTGTCTGTCTGTCTGTCTGTCTGTCTGTCTGTCTGTCTGTCTGTCTGTCTGTCTGTCTGTCTGTCTGTCTGCCTGTCAGTCTCCGACAACTTTCGCGCGTATTCGGAATCAGAACCAAACAATTACTCATCTTTTTCACTCTGGCCCCGTGTGTGCAGCTGGAGGAAGTCGGTGCCGAGCCCCGTGACGAGCAGGAGCACCGAGTGCACCAAGGGCAGGTGCATCCCCATCGGACTGGACACGCCGTCGTACCCCGCCAGGGGCGCCTTCTCCGTCAAGACCGGCTCGGCCGCACCCTTCTGCCGTGAGTGTCCCCCAAAAAAAACGAAACGTGGAAACGGTGTCAAAACGAGCACTTCCGTTTCCGTTATTTTAAATAGCCCAGTGCGACCCTTTTGTCTGCATCGGCCGTCGGTGCTTGCCGTCCCCCGCCCGCCCGATGCAGAGGCACTCCAAGGCACTCCAAGGCACTCCTCACATTGCAACCGGGTTTCTGTTGTTTTCTGTCACAGTCGAAGAGAACTCTGGCGACGGACAGACGCTGAAGGAGCTCAAGCGCCTTGGTTTACTCAGCTGATTCGCCAAGACGACGACGACTGCCGACGACGACCCGTGAAAAAATACAATGTGGCTGACACACACACACGTACACACACATACACACAGACGTAACAGTGTGCTTGCTTGAGGCCACACGACGCAATAAAAGCCGCATCAATTCACGCGTTTTGTTTTCATTTTTAATTTATTTAAATTAAAATCTCCTATAATGTAGTGGACTTCCACGAGTCTAGTTGGTGCCACTGGTCTCCGGAGGCCAGCCCCCTGAACTCGACCATCCAGCCGGTGCCGCCGTTGCGCACACTGGTGGTGTACTTGACGGCGATGCGGTGGGTGTGTCCTCGCACGAAGCCGGGCTTGTCCTACAAATGAAGGTTGGTTAGATATTCACTCGATTTAAACAACTACGTTCTTACTTGAATCGACTTCGAAGACGGGGGTTCTCCCCTCCCTCGGACTCTCGGCCTTACCTTTCCGCAGTAACGGGCGAGGCTGGTCTCTCTGTCTTCCGCGTCCACGTCGAACACTTCGACGAAGTCCGTGTCGCATGACGTGTTGGGGCCCAGATCGAACGCTGTGGGGCGAGTAAAGAATTCGGTTACGGTGCGATGTACCGTGCTGTGCTTCGATACATACTTTCTGATCTTGCGATATGTTATGTATTTTATGCAACGTTTTGCAGAGGTAGATGCAACGAGTATGTATATCAACCTTTGAAGTTCAGCACGGGACTCCTGGCTCCGGGGCTGAAGATGTCCCAGCGACACACGGAGGCGTTCCGGTACGGCGCCGGGTACATGGGGCTGGTGAAGACGCCCGAGTCCTGGTGGAGCGCGCCGCCACAGCCAGGGCCTGGAACAAGGTGGAACAAGGTGGAACAAGATGGAATAAGAAGTAACATGGTGAAACAAGGTGGAACATTCTGAAACAAGGTTGAACAAGTTGGAACAAGGGAGAACATGGTGGAACCAGGGGTGACGAGGTAGGGCGGGGTGTAGAACAAAGTGAAACAAGGTCGGACAAAGTGGAACAATGTAGAACACGGTGGAGGCACCCACCCTGGTCCGTGGTCCAGTAGTGGCCGTCGACCCTGCTGTAGGTGTTGAAGTCCTTGGCCCAGTACTTGATGAGCATCCCGGGGCCGGTGGACGAGAAGCCTCGCGACATGGACGGCTCGCAGACGCGGCCGATCCGAGGGCTGCTTCCGGCGAGGCCGTCCAGCACCTGAGGGCGAGGCCGAGGCCGAGAGCCATGGATCATAGCGCAAGTCACGACTGAGAGTGATGTGCGGTAGACTCCAGCCCCACCACACCGCTCACCTCCAGGCCGCCTTCCTTGCAGTCGGTGGACGGGGTGATGTACGAGTTCTCCCCGATGAAGAACGTGATGGTCTGGTTGGTCGGGGCGACGATGCGGATCACGCACTCCTTGGCCTCGTTGTTGAGGAACACGGCCCCGGACGGCTCGAGCAGGTCGGCCGGCGGGCAGCGGGAGGCTGGCGACAGTCGGCGCGGGCGGGCGTGCGTGAGCAGAGGGCCTACCGAGTGACACCACCCGAGTGCGCTGAGGCACCGCGCCTACCTGACACGGTCAGCTTGTAGCCTCTGCCGGTCGCGGTCCCGGAGTGGTACGTGATCCTGATGGCGCCCGAGTAGGGGGGCACGCTGATCGGGGGCGGGCGCTCCTTGCTGCAGAAGGACATGGTGTTGTCCGCGTACATCTCCAGGCTGTAGAAATTGGGCATCTGAAACATTCCAGTCACCGCGTCTCAAATTGCTTGTTTGAAAGGGGATTTTTTGGTATCGGGCGGGTATTTATTGTCCATGTATTGTTTGTCCATTTCTCGAACGAAGTACACTACGCTGTACCACATTGGTCAATGTATTGCTGCGGACGGCAACTTAAACCAAACCCGAGTTACGTGTGATAGGTAGGCAACTCCTCTGGCACCCTTGGACCCGTCTGATCCTGCCACCGAGAGGTAGCGCCACCTCACAAGGGAGAGCGAGAGAGACAGCAGCGCCCGTCAAGACGTGCCGTGCGCCGGCGCGCTGTCAGTCGAGAGTTGAGCGGAGGAGCGGATCGTGAGGACCGGGCGGTCAGCAGACGAGACGCGTTCGGCCGCGTTTCGTACGGACTGTTGTGCGCGTTAAATACACAAGTATTGTGCTCCTGCCCGCCGTCAATATGGATAGCCCGACACGAACCAAGCCTGCACGGTACTTCACCTCGACCTGCGCAACGCCGCCATGATGGGTTAGGCCCTCACTAAACTCGGCCCCGAAGCCGCCGCAAACACATCTTTCGCCCCACTCCTGTTTGGACGCCGGGGACGCCCATAGGCCAAACACCACTCGGCGGCCCCTCCCGAAGCCGCCCTTCCCCCCCTCCCCCT